AGTGGCATGTCATGAAAGCTAAATGAACAAAATCTATCAAGAATGAGATCACCTGTGTCACATGCTGCTATGAGGCCAGGTTAGATGAGGTCTGAAATCTGACCACTAATTTAGCAACATGGTGGTCACTTGGTGATGTACAGGAATCTTCTATCATTATATTAATCTATCAAATAATCACTTTAGCAATTCTAGCCCAATTTGTCAAATCCTTTTATTAAACGTCCATAGAAGAACGAATTGTATTATTTTGTCTATGAATTTTCATTGGGAATATTTGAAATTTACAAATCCATTTTCCATATGTTGTGTGTAGGTCTGGTGAATATTACTTGCACGTGCCAACTCACTTTTTTTAAATGTTTATATTTGAGAGAGACAGAGAGAGCATGAGTGGGGTGGGGGGGGAGGTGGGCAGAGTGAAACACAAAATCCAAAGCAGGCTCCAGGTTCTGAGCTGTTAGCACAGAGCCCGACGTGGGGCTTGAACTCACGAACTGTGAGATCATGACCTGAGCCAAAGTCAGACACTTAACTGACTGAGCCACCCAGGCGCCCCCATGCCAACTCATTTTTAATTACCATTCATGTGATATCATCCCGACTCCTTTTTAAAATTTATTTTTTTATTTTTTAGAGAGCACAAGTGGGGGAAAGGGGCAGAGAGAGAGGGAGAGAGAATCCCAAGCAGACTCCACACTCAGTGCAGAGCCTGAGGCAGGGCTCAATCCCACTGGGATTGTGACCTGAGCTGAAATCAAGAGTTGGGACGCTCAACCAACTGAGCCACACAGGCACCCCATCATCCTTTTTAAAAGCCTTCTCAGACCCACACTTTGCTCTCCTCCAAACCAGCACTTGAGAGAACCTGCTTCTTTTCCCCTTATTCTCACGGCTGCCTGTGAAGGAGACTTTTCTTCAGTCTTGAATAATTATTAAATGTATGCCTTCAGTTTCTGGCTGGAACATAGATGTTTAATAACATGCTTGATGAATGGATAGAAGGAAGCAAAGGGGGAAGTAAATGGGGAGAGGGAGAAAGGGAAGGTAGGAAAAGAGAAAGTATGGAGACTGTCAGTTTCAATTAGAAAACACACGGGGCAGGGTGCTTCAGTGGCTCTGTTGGTTGAGCATCAACTTTGGCTCAGGTCATGATCTTGTGGTTTGTGAGTTCAAGCCCTGCATCATGCTCTGCACTGACAGCTCAGAGCCTGCTTTGGATTCTCTGCCTCCCTCTCTCTCTCTGTCCTTCCCCCATGTTCGCCTTCTCCCCCTCTCTCTCTCAAAAATAAACATTAAAAAAATTCATGGGGCAAAAATATATACATATGTGTGTATACATATGTGTGCCCCTCAAAGCAGGGCAATGTCTTAATTCATACTATTTCTGATGCAAGTGTTAGGAATCCTGGGAGTTAAGATGATGTGCCTAGGCAAACTCAGTAAAACAATTCAAAAGGAAAATAATAAACATATATAGAAATATGTTCAGAGTTGGAAACTGATCAGCAAAGTACTGAACAGTCCTCTATGAATTAATACTAAAACTAGTACTTTTTGCAGAGTTCAGTGACCATTAAAAAGGAAACCACTTGAACATTTTGTAAAACACATCTTACATTCTAGGGAATAAAATTTCATCTTCTGTTTTAATATACATTAACATTTGTGATCAGAGTGTTAAGTATTAGCTTACAGTAGATTGTCCTGGCCCCAGTAAGTTGTTAACTCTCTTAAATGTTTATTTTTGTGTGTGAGAGAGAGCTCACATTAGCGGGGAAGGGGCAGAGAGAGGGAGACAGAGGATCCAAAGCAAGCTCTGTGCTGAGAGCAGACAGCCCAATGTGGAACTCAAACTCATGAACCTCGAGATCACGACCTGAGCCGAGGTTGGACGCTTAGCTGACTGAGCCACCCAGGCGTCCAATTGTTAACTCTCTAGCAATGCATAACATAAAGAACACTGTGGAAATCACTGGCCTGAGCTCCAGCTCTGAATGTGACCCTGTAGCAGTCATCAACTCTTGTGAGCTTGCTGTCCCCTGTTAAAAAGAGGACAGCGATATCTATACTGCTGACCTCAGGGATGTGAGAATCACAAGAGGAAACATATGCAAACACCTTGGAAATGTGAAAATGAGCAGTGTGACGTGTGGTCAGATCACTCCCCACATTTCCCGCATCCAATCATAATTCTGAGGGCCACAGAGGCAAAAGCCATCATGCTTGTGCCAACATTTGCTGAGGCGGACCACCTGACTCTCCGGAAGCTTCCTACCCCAGGTCTGAATCTCCAGAATCTTCCAGCCCCAGGCCTAGAATGCCCTCCCCAACTCTTGGGAATGGCAGCCAGCTGGGCAGGAAGAAACACTTGTCTCCAGAAGAGAGAAGAATCATAGCAGCAAACCAGAGAAGGGGGTGGGATAGGAGATAAAGGCCTTGGGATATCTCCTTTTTTAGGCATATAAAAGCTTTGAGGGACTTCTCCTGTTTCAATTTAATACCATGAAAAATTTCAATTCTTAACTTCATGACCCCAGTTCTTAACTATTTTTGTTTACATAAGCAGTGTGCATCAGAATGAAAAATGGCATCACAAGGATAGAAGGCCACATCGCACTGCCAACACTTACTGACTCCTGTCCTACCACAACCACGTACATAGCTCCTGGGAGAGCCACTCTGTGGCTGTTTCCAGCAAATCCAGAATTCAAAAAGCAAGGAAGAGGTTAGGGCAGTTCTTGCATCATTTCAGGCTCACCCCAACACAACAAAGAAGGGATTGTGTGTGCTGCTTCTGTGCAGCTTGCTGAGAGCTGGGCAGCCTGGGGGCCCGGGGGCTTGTGCAATTGGTCTAAAAGGTTCTATGTGGGTAGATTTCTCAGCCCAGCAGACTCCCCTGAGCCAAATCCAGTGTGCACATCCTGTTCAGGCCACCGCCCTGTGGAAGGCGGGCTCTGGCAGCCTGGCAGGTAGAAGCAGCAGGGGCTTCAGTCCTCCACCTCCCCGAGGACGGCTCTGCAGCTCACGCACACTGCTGGCGGCAATTTGCAGCACCGGCAGCCCTGGCATGCCAGCCCTGGCACGCCCAGTCCTGCCCGGAGCTCAGTGCAAGTGCAAGTCCCACAAAACGGCTTCCAGGAGAGCTGCCAGCCAGCAACCTCGACCGAACAACCGCCTCGTTGTCTGGAGTCTCATGTAAATGTTGCCCAACCTACTTCACGTCTCTCCTGGGGCAACTTGGATCTGGAAGGAAATTCGATTCATCTGACTTGACTATTTGGCTATATTTATATATCTGATTATTTGGCGAAATAAATTTAAATTATTGTTTTGAAATATAAATTTTTTCTCATATAATTTCCTATATTAAACCATTCTGGCCTTTTCTACTTCATTATCCACTGCATGCTTCTTCCTAAACCTCTTTATCCTCTCCCAATTTTCAACCAGGGAGGCTATATAACCACATACTATTGTTTTTAATGTTTATTTATTTTGATGGGTGGGGAGAGGCAGAGAGAGAGAGGGCAAGAGAATCCCAAGCAGGCTCCACACCATCAGCACAGAACCCAATGCTGGGCTTGATCCCATGATCCGTGAGATCACGACCTGAGCCGAAATCCAGAGTCAGATGTGTAACCAACTGAGCCACCCAGGTTCCCCAATAACCACATAATTTCAAAGCATGTTCTGAAATGTCTCTTTCTTGGTACTGCCCAGAATAAACGCAAACCTGGCTTTCACGTCTTTCCAAGTCATCTGTTAAGAAAGAAATGGTGCATATAGGCTATTAGGAGGCATTTCTTAATTTATTTAAGGCAAAACTCTGATCTTCATTTGGAATGAGTAAAATGTGTAATTACTTCTTTTATTTCATGCGATGATCAAATATCCATTTTTTAAGGTCACTACTTTTGTTTAAGGTTTTTGTTTTTGTTTTTTTTTTGAGACAGAGAGAGAGAGCACACACACAAGTGAGCAGGAGAGGGGCAGAGGAGAGAGAATCTTCAGCAGGCTCCACGCCAGGCACAGAGCCCAAAGGAGAGCTCGATGCCACAACTGTGAGATCACGTCCTGAGCCAAAAACAAGTGTCAGAGGCTTAACCAACTGAGCCACCCAGGCGCTCCAAGGCTCCATTTTTTTTTTAATTTTATTTTTTACATTTATTTGCTTTTGAGAGACAGAGAGAGAGAGAGAGCACAAGTGCGGGAGGGGCAGAGAGAGAATGAGACACAGATCCGAAGCAGGCTCCAGGCTCCGAGCTGTCAGCACAGAGCCCGATGTGGGGCTTGAACTCACAAACCATGAGATCATGACGTGAGTCGGAGGAAGTCGGAAGCTTAACCAACTGAGCCACCCAGGCGCTCCAAGGCTCTATTTTCTTTTAAGCCTCTGTAACATTCCCTGTTTGACAAATTCCAAGAGCTAATAAAAGCGCATCCAGCCCTCTGCCCAGTGGGAGGGCTGGTGGGGGCTGAGTGGTGACAAGCACTATGCCCTGTGATCAACGGGGTCTCCAACCCCTTGGTTCCTTGCCTGGCTGTTGTTTCTACCCAAAAACGTAAAGGTGCTTGAAATATTAGATACTGAAATACATCACAGGCAGAATGGACAATGCCACAAATCTGTTCTGATACATGGATAACTTTTATTTACCTACCACAGGGAAAACCAATAGTCACCTAAAGCTGCCTAACCCATATTTCCAACAGTGACGGTGTTTAATTTACTATCCACCTTTAAAAGGCTTCAAATAAAATACAGATAGGAAAATACATAAAGAATTAAGATTATAAAACTATCCAGGTAATTAATGATCATAATAATACTAGGACTGCAGTTAAAAAAAGCAGTTTTCCATAGTTTACTTGAAGTACAGATAATGAGTACCAAATCTATACATTAAGTTGTAATAGACAGTTTTAGGCAAACGGTATCAAACTGTATAACTTTTTAAAATTAACCGAAGTTGTTACAAACTGTATAAAAATTGATATTATTCTTCAAGTTCTCCTAAAAGCTCTACAAAATCAGTGATGTACCATTCAGCGTTGTCTTTTACTTGTTGTCTGATCACATTTCCTCCAAATCCAATGAAAACATCCTAAGAAAGGGGAAAAAAGGAGAGTTAAAAAAAATTAAAAAAGATATAGCGGCACCCTAGGGCAGTAAGTGTTTGAAAAGAATGAACTGTTCTGCAAAGAGAGGTTAAGCCTAGCCTCAAGGGGGTTCCTCCCCAGCTCCCTGGGAGCGTCCTTGAATGAGTCAGTGCAACACCGCTGTCAGTCCAACCAGGCCAGGGGACACTGCAGGCTTCCAGGAGAACTGAAGCCCTCTAAAAACCAATACAATTGCTTACAAAGGTAAAATCCCATCTGAGTTCTAAACTAGATGCATTCACAACTAGGCCGGGAAATCTCAAAGAGGGAAGAATAAAGAGAAGCCTGGAGTGCAGTGGAGATCCCACTGGCCTAGAATCAGGACCAGAGCAGGCGCCTCCTGACAGGTGCCTTGTGTGAACCTGACAGACCTCCTTCTGGGATGAAGCAGATGACAGTGCCAGGATCTGCTGCCAGCACTCCACTTTCCATCATTAAAATTATTGAAGGTTATGTTGTTTCCTTAATTTCTACCAAGTGACACCTTCTTGTAGTCATTTTTAAAATAGTATTTTCTCAGGGCACCTGGGTGGCTCAATCAGTTAAGCACCAGACTCTTGGCTTCAGCTCAGGTCACGATCTCACAGTTTCGTGGGTTCCAGCCCCACATCAGGCTCTGCGCTGGCAGCGTGGAGCCTGCTTGGGATTCTCTCTCCCTCTCTGTCTTTCCCTTCCCACTCACTTTGTCTCTCTCAAATAAATAAATACAAATTTAAAAACATAGTATTTTCTCTTTTTCCGCCAGGATATAGACACTACATACATAATTTGGAAGTTGAAAATTCTTTTACTTGCCTTTTCTTTTCATTTTTGTTTTCATACCACATAAGGAGGGAAACATAATGAGATTCTTACCTTCCAGTTAAGTGTAGCCTCCTAACTGAGCCTCCTTTCTGCATGCCAGCACCCGCTCGGGGTCCTAACACACCAACTCATTCCCTCTCTGTCCAGCAGCCTTCCAGGGCTTCCCATGACCTCACAGGGACACCAAAGTGCCTGACACATAAAGTCTTCAGCAGTTGCTGAAGAGAAAGCCCATTCTTGCCAGTTCTTGTGCACTGACCAGCCCAGGTCTGTGCCTAGAATATCCCCACTCTGTTCTGCTGCCTCCCTGCCTCCTGCCCCCGCCTGGTCACTTCTCCCTTGGGTCCTTCCAGGCCTGCACATGGTGGCTGTTGCCCTTCCTTCAAATCACACATTCCTCTGACCACGTCTGCCAGCACACACTTTCCCTTGGCTCGGTCAGGCCGTGTCATCTTCCAATGACTGGAAGGGTCCTCTGGAATTATAATTTTGTCACCTCTTGACATCAGGAGGGGGAGCTCCCTGATAGAACTGGGCATATGTGACTTCTATATACTCCTCATTGGACTAGTCCAGCATTCGTGACTTAGTCAACCTCAGCCTTGATTGTAAATCATCTGAAGACATCTTCTTATCTTGAATTGACTCAAGTAAGTTAAAAGGATCCAAAGATTCTTTAACCACTTTGGGTTAATCATTTACAAAGACAACTATTTTTAGATCTCAGGAAACTAGGTAGTAAAAAGCTCACCACTACATTTTTGGTTCAGGTTTTCTTAATTTAGTATGAGCTGATAAGGGCAAAGTCCTGCATGAAAGTGACACATTGCTGTATAGCATGTTTCCTAGTCTCAGAAAACAACATTCATTCAGAAGAATAAAATGCTTTAATACAGGCACGTTATCAAACCTCCACCAGCCTCAGTTCCCTACTCAGTAAAAAGGAGAAGATACTGTATGAGGAAATAGTTCGTCAAATATAAAAAGACAGTAAAATTTTGATTACAGTTATAAGATCTGAATTATTATTTGTGGTATTATTTGGGGAATCGAAGCCAAACCTTGAGCACACACTGGGGCTAAGAGGTGGTAGCCATACCACAGGAACAGGGTGGTAAAGTTCTAGATGGTTTTTTTCAGGTTTGCAAAAAGTCAGTTGACATATTGAGACTGAAGGTGTCTTAATTGTTTTGGTTGTTTTACAGTGACACCTGGATGTTCTTCTCTCTTATCTCACCTAAGCAATCATACCAAGTTCTAAATCAGCTGTTTAAAACAGAACCACAACCAGAGAAAACTAGTACACTTAATACCTACAGCAGGAGGACAGGCTTCCATGTCTGTGGCTCCGTCTCCAATCATGATAATTTTCTTAAAATGAAATTTTTCCTTTAAAAGTTTAATAACTTTTCCTTTCCCACCAGATTCGGCTGTTGGCTGCATCTCATCAAAACCTGCATATTCACCTTAAAAGAGCAGTTACAACAGTGTTAATGATCCACAGAATTCTATCAGTAGGGCCAGCTTTTTGCATAGATGATACCCTCACTTAAATGTCACTGAGAAAGCTAAAAATGGCCCTCAGTGAAGTGACCCGGCCTGGATTTCTACACCACAGCCCCACATAAACAACTTTGCTTCTCACTTGCAAATACTTCTTGTTGAGGTAACTCCTTTAAATCATTAATGCCTTGGGGTAAATCAGGTTTATCCTCTAAGCTTTCATAGTTGTAATTCTCAAACCTTGCTGACACGGCAGAACATCATGAAATGATAATATATTAAAATTTTTAAAGGTTAATATATAATTTCATCTAAGAGGCAATTCCAACTTATATTTGATCAATTTTATTTCTTACAGTAATTAGCACATTCCCTCTCTCTTCAGACCCATCCAAAATGTTTTATTAACACATCTAAAATTTTTAAATTAATATTATTTGGTTTTAAGGATGTCAGCCAGTCCTTGACATAACTAGAGACATTATGCGATGATGGAAAACTACAGCTGCAGCTGTGATGGTACACAGAAGGGCCAAGAGGCACTTTCAAAGGAGCGACAGAGGGGCGCCTCGGTGGCTCAGTCAGTTAAGCGTCTAACTCTTGATTTTGTCCCAGGTCATGATCTCAGGGTTCTGGGATCGAGCTCCACGTTGGAGCCTGCTTAGGGTTCTCTCTGCCTCTCCCTCCCTCTCTGCCCCTTCCCATCAAGGCAGCGACAGTGCAGTGACTCACTAGTAAACTCTCCTTCCTTAGCCTATGATTGATTTGAATACATGAGAGCTCTCATAAAACTGAAATATAATGCGAGACAGAGTAAGTCATGTGGGAATCAATGTGCAGACATTTATATACAGAGAGATGATTATATGGACACTAAAGCTAGCAGAGATGATGGCCCAAGTCTGTTTTGCACGGAGCAAAAGACCTCAATCAAGAGTATCCTTTGCCTCAGTATTTAACTCTGATGCCACCTTGCTTAAGTTGCATCCCAACAGACACTACATAAGATACTGGATACTAGGCCCCGGCGGAGAAGCTGAGGTCATCATTGAATTTGAAATATTTAAAGTGGATACAAAACTGTTTCAGCAATGCAGACAATTAAGTGTGTTGTTGTGGGCGATGATGCCGTTGGTAAAACCTGTCTCCTGATATCCTACACAACAAATAAATTTCCATCGGAGTATGTACTGACTGTTTTTGACAACTATACAGTCACAGTTATGATTGGTGGAGAGCCATATACTCTTGGACTT